TATATATTTGTGTGTGTGTGTGTTAAGGTACATCCCTCTGAAGTGTTAATGATGCTGTACATGAGGGAGTGGTCACAGTGTGGATGCTCCACCCCACACCCAAAGATCACCCCCTTYACTTCACCTCTCTGACCTCAGGTTCCCAGCGAAAAAAAAAAGGTGGCAGATTATATAGKCTGTGGCCCCAGAAGCTAATGAGGAGGAAGGAACCACTCTGACAGACTGAGTCGTCACAGGTTCGCTCGGCTCAGGTGGGGGGTCTCTTCTGTAGTGTAATTATTGCCCTTTTTACCCTCCTGCATCTGCCACGACTTCACCCACCGTCAACATCTGCTGGGAACTTCTTCTCCTTTCAACCACACATAAACTGTAACTTTTTTTTAACCTACATCAAAATCAATTACTTGTTCATTTGTATTTTATGTCAATCAGCTCCAGACCTCGCTTCATAAAAGTGATTTTTCATAAAGAGGAGGGATAAACACAGCCTCTGCAGGCCTCTATTGTTTGTTTCTGAAGAGTAATGGCCTTTTAGAGCAGCTGTGCGTGCCCCTCACCCCCTCCCCTCATCTGTCTCCTCAGAAATTTTTGGCACTGGATTTGAAATGCATTGCTTCCTGCTCTCTTTGATGGAATCCCTTCTCGGCAGCCTCAGGGGAAATCATGACTGACAATGTTTTGGTGAAAAAAACAAAAGAAAACAAACAAAAAAAACATACTCACAAAAATAACCCTCTCTAGCACTGAGATCTTTCATTATTTGCRCTAAATGTATATGATCAATCAGAAATATGCAGATATAATTTATATTTTTATATAGATTGAAATTAATGAGCTGCATCTGACAGCACAAATGGAATTCAAGTGGGATTAAAAACAAATAAACCAATAAAGACGTGGAATTTGGAGGAACAAGTCCAATTCAACAACAGGTGCTGCAGTCAGAAAAAGAAAAAAGCTTCAGAAACGATTGATGTCAAACCAAATGCAAAACCATAATTAACAATACTCACGATTGGACTTGCATTGATGTAATCCGAGTTGCCATGGTTATTCTCCGCTTTCAAGGTGATCCGGGAATGATCATCTGCAACGAAGATGCATTATTCATCTGTTTGTGTTTCAACACTTTTGGCTCCCTGCACAGCAACGACACACTTCTGAAGAGCAACACAGGAGTGTGAATCCAAAAGGATGTGCAGTTTCTCCGGACTTTCATCAGACACACAAACACACACCGTTCTGAACTTCTGAGTGTTTCAAGAGGAAAAACAAACAAAAAAAAAAAACATTTTATCTTAATAAAGCCGAAAGTTGTGATCTCTAAAACCTTCCTTTGAACCAGCATAGAGATAAAGTTAACCTGAACCCTGATGGAACCTGGGCTCGAACCAGCAGCCTTAAGATTACAAGACTGGCACCGCCCACTGAGCTACCACAACTCCAGTAAACAGGACTGTAATTCATCAGATTAACATTGTGATGTGTTCAAGAAAGCTTGAAATTAATGACTAAGATAATTTATTCAGTTATAAATCTGATGAGAAACATTTAGTTTYGCCCTCTGTTGGCCATTAGAAAAACTGAAGGAGATTTAAGGTGCTGAATCATTGGCTTCACTTTTCAGACCCAGCGGTTCAATATTTTTTAAAAAAAATACATTCTAAGTCATTCTAATAGAATAATTTCTGTTTTTCTAATTCTTGTTAACTGTAGTTTAGAAATTTAATCTGTAATTGAACTTTTGAGAACTTGCGAAAAAAAACTGATTTAGGTATGTCGTTCAGAGATGTCACAAGTTGGTGGCCGAGATGAACTATGACAAAAWTAAATAATAAACTGACCATAAATAATAAACTATGATCAGAATAAACAAAGCTGATCCGATGGTGAATATCAAAAAAAGCCTTTAAGAAGAACAAACTAAGAAAAACTGGCCAAAAACATTAAATAATAAAATAAATAAAACAAAGCTAAATCAGATTTTTCTAATCCATCTGGGCAAGCTGTTTAATGTAAGCTGGTGTTGGACATGTTTCTAACGCAAACAAGAAGTCACTTTTTAACAAAATCTGTTTCTATTACCATCCTTTTTTTCTAGATCCTATCCAATTTTTTTCCAAAACTATTTTAAAAAATGTGGATTGAAACCCTGACAGTTAATAGAAATATAGCACTGTGCATCTGTAGATGTTTTTTTTTTTTATTATTTTCATTTCAGACTAAAATTAGTTTGCCTGCCATACTTTTAGCAAAGACCAAGTGTTGCTATAAAGCCTCTGCCTCGTGTGGAACCCAAGTAAACTTCCTCCTGCTGCTGATTTAAATACAAGGCTGAGGGACAAAGTGATGGATGACAGGGACAAGCAGTTTACAACCTGTAAAGGCTACTCCATAATCATATGCAAAGACTGTGTTCTTCTTGTCATAACGAGCAGACAAAAGCTCTTCACTGCTGGTTTGAGCGTGAAGCACATTTATTTTAAAATGTCAGCTTTGCAAAAGGTACAAAGGGAACGCACAAAAAGATTACATTATAAACATAAAGTGCAAGGTTGGAAAGACTTTTTTTTGTAAAAACGTTTACAAAAGATCAGATTTGTGTATCGTGTATTAGTATTTAAGTATGATAGCACTGAGAAAGTCAAACGATAACAGTTAAAACAAATGCAACACATTTTTTCTAAACTATTGAATTATTTGGATAAACAGCACAATTGTTGATAGATATTTTTAAGATGGATGTTTTTAGCTTTACAAAGTTGAGTTATTCAGTTAAGAGAGGACAAAAGTAAAAAAAGGAAATTTATTTGGAGCTGCTGTAGTGAAAACTACTGATACTTTCTATTTTGATAAAACTCTTAGTAATTAGTTCTTATTCAGGATCATTCAGAATTAGCAAGAAAAAAGCAGTCACAGAAAAAGCTCCTTGGCTAGAAGAGCGACAAAACGTATTAATTTTGAGAAGATATTTGGGTTGATTTATCTTGTTTACCTCTTTGGTAAAATGTTGCTCTTTGGAGCAAAAACTATGTGAACAAAAAGCGACGGAGCGACGTGGACGTAACATTCATGAAAGCTTTACGTCTGACTTACATACGACCACGGCGTCGGAGCGGTTCCTCTTGGAGTTCTGCTCGCCTTGGCCTACGCTGCAGGTGCTGGGCTCGGCCTGGTAGGAGCACAGCGCCTCCCACTCACGCTCCAGACGGTTCTTGTTCGTCAAGTGGTCCTCCATGTAGGACTGGAGGAAAACAGACAGCACCTCAGCCACCATTTTAGACAACAAACCAGAGCCGTGCATCAGGACACGTCTCGTTCTGATACTGCAGCAGTAAAAGAATTAAAAAAAAATTCTTTTATGAGAAAATTTGACTTAAACAACCAAGACTCTTATAACAATTCATCTTTTTCACACTTGAGGTTTCTGGTGATAAATCCTTATCTATAATTATATTTCAACAACAATAAATAAACAAGTAAATCCATCTTTTAAAGCCATGATCAGCACTCACAGAGCGGCATTATCTCAAGCTTGTGTGTATTGTACCAATTGCGAGATCAAGGTGGAGAAAGTGTGCTAATGTTGGAATATTTGTGTGTGTGCCTGAGGAAAAACCCACACACTATTAGGACTCCTGAAAGGTTTGTCTGCATTGGAAATACTTCAGGGGTGTTTCAATCACGTCCCTCACTGCTTGCACAGCCGCTGATAAGATTGTCTGCGTTTAAGCYGTCGCTTGGAGAAGACAAAATTGAATTCGCCAGAGAGACAAAGATGGAAAAAGAAAAYGGGGGGAGGGGTGAAGGCCTATTCTGCTAAACCAGGGCAAGTCTTGGGGAGCTTAGAGTTGTACAGTTTTTTTTCCTTCAGCATGGCAWCGTGGCTCCGTTTCCTCTCCTGTATCATGGCTCCCCTCCTGACGGGGGTGAGATGGTTCAGTCTGCTATTGTGTGAGACGGAAGATTACAGACTCATAAACTGATGTCAGGGATCAGCAGGCTAATACAATGACAGTGATACCCAGATGTGTTGGGGTTTTATCCCGTATTAAAAGCAGTATATAGGTAGGCCGAGCAGGGAGGTGACACTCCATTTCTTRCGTCCGATTCATTCATTCATTCCTGTCTGTCAAGAGGGAAATCTGCTGCAGAATTTATACAATTAGGATGATAATCACAAATAGGCTTGTCCAGCACATAAGAGGCAATTACCCTCTGATGATTCATGATTCATAAGATCTGCTGAAGGGTATTAGATGACTTATAAAAGYGTTACAAATTCTGCATTCAATTGAAATCTAGATTTGACGGAGAATCTTTGAAGTGGGGTTCTGTGGACAGGTTGTGAACATTAATAAAATAGGTCTTTGAATGATGACAGTTTCAAGAAACAGACTTTCATTTTTTTCATTTATAGGCTAGCAGTTAGCTTGTGCAGAGCCAAAACTTGTAATGCAAAACTGATGATGATGTAAACAAGTTCAAACAGAAACTTTGGAGATTGGATTTGTTTGAAAGCAAAAGCAATCCACTTTGGTTTTTGGTCTCATTCCACCCTGTTAGTCCACCGTGAGGTCGTTCAATAAGATGTTTATAACAGTTAGGATATCAGCCAATCATAACCTTTCCACAGAACTCCCACTTTAAAAGAGCTGAACTGCTGCTTTAATGTGTTCAACATCCGAGTGAAACGTCTTGTTTGGTGTTTTTCTCCATGTTTTAAATTCGGTTATTTAAAGAAAACATTGTTTCTGATGTATTCCTGCACATGTCGAGTTGTGCATCGTCCACACAAACCCGCAGCGCTGTCTTCCCAGCAACATGACAGCCTGCCATTATGGCCACTTGACAGAGCCTGTCACCATGATGCTCCCATCACCCCACACAAGTACTCTCAGCTCGCCAGCCTGACAGCATCCCACCTCCCCTACCAATATTACATCTCCATGCACTCAATGCGTGCACTCTGAATTGCATCCCATTCTATTCAAACGATGCCCTGAATCGATTGCATTCCAAATTCATATATATATATAT